GTGACATCCACTGATCTTCAGTAAATTCCACTATTTTTCAGTGAAAACTTCGTTCACTGGTTAAAACAGCGCTTTTTTCGCTGATTCAGATTTAGAGAGAACTCTCAGGGAATTTAATATTTCATTAAAAAAAATGTTCAATATTTTTCTATGTTCAATATTTCAGAAATGTTAAATTCGCTTTTCATAAAAATCTAAAGTAATATTTTCACTCAGGAAAGTAGTGCTGCATTTTTTATAATTTTTTCTATTTCAAATGCAGTAGAAGAATTTTCTTTTGAATATAATTTATTGGGAAAAAAATCCTAATTTTACTGTTCTGTTGTATTTTTAAGAGACCAATTAAATATTTTATTAATTTTAATAAAAGTGCGGTGTCTACGGGAAATTTTTAAATTTTTACATTTATAATTTATTTTAGACGGTTTTACTTTCATGTAATTATTACCAAAAGATGACTTTTGTTAAGTATTAATTTTTTCTACGAAAGATAAAATTTTTATTTTATTGAGCTAAGAAAAATGGAAATATATATATATATATATATATATATATATAGACTATTGTTTGTTTCCAGTCTGGCTACGATAGAAGAAATCACTCCATGCGTAGGTAACGAGACTTATTCTTTTCATTTCTCTCCCTTTTCTCTCTCTCTCTCTCTCTCTCTCTCTCTCTCTCTCTCTTGTATTCACTTTTTATCTCCTTTCCGACTGTTTCGGAGATCTCATTTTCCAACATGACAGTGAAGGATAACGAGGAAGGCAATCTTCTTGCGTGACGACAGGGATGGACAATTTTCTTTCTAAAATATTTCACTGCACATATCCCAGTGTTACTTTGTTATCGAGGTCTTGTCTGCTTGAAAAAAAATAAAAGAACAGACGCAGTTTACTGTACAACTTGTAGGAAAAAAAACGCAAAAGATGAAATAATAAAGAGCGATTTTTTTTAATAAAAAAATGACTACCTTTTGTCTGTCACAGATTGCAATATATTTTCATCTATTTTTTATTTGATATTTTCATTAAAATGTACACAATTTTATATTTCTACCTCTGGAATATACAATAATTTATAATTAAATCTAATTATCTATTCTTGGCCAAAATAAATTGGTCTAGTATTATAACTTAATTTCAGCAGAATGTTTATAATTAATTTACCTTAAAATAATTTGTTTCTATTTTAATTTTCACAGACTAACTGATAATCATGCTATAATTCTATTAGCATATTGTTTTTGATTATCAGAATAGTTGCTTATTAAAAGTTTTTAAAATTGGATTAAAAATAATAACTATGATGAAGATGAATAAAAAAAGCAAACAGAAATTGCAACGGACTTTTATATTCTCTGAATTTTGTGTATACGATTTAATTTTTAATGAGAGATAAAGAGCAACTGTAGGATACTCGTCTTTACCAAAGGACATCTAAATCCATTTGCTTCTGTATGCATAGGAACTTTCAACTACTAGTTTACTGGCAGTAAACATCCGTTACAAGGAAGTACAGCTCATTAATATTTCCTGAAAATCTTTTATAATCAATCCTCTTTACTTCCGTTGTTTATTTCTAATGAAAAAAAATTATGCCTTTAATTAGAATTGTAGTGTTTTGTTTAACAAAATAAAAAAAATCCCCTGTTACGTATTGAAAGTAATGTGTTAAAAGCTAATGTGAAATTCAATAAATGTTTGAAGAGTTTTGTGGCGTACAAAAGCATTTCAAAAAAGCATACTTGGCATTCGAAACAGAAAGGAATTCAATTTAAGAGATATAATTGGTTCCGTTGGCCAGAATCAAAATTCGCACTGGAAAAAAATATGTCAAAATTATTTGATCAGAGATTTTATTTAAACCGTAAACAAAATATTTATTTTTATACAATAAAAAAGAAAGTAAAATAAGAAAGGATTTTTTATTTCTAAAAATAGATTTATCGGTAAATTAATTGCGATCATATTGATAATTAATAAAAATTAATAAAAATTTTTTAAAGAGATGTAACATGATATTAAAAGAGAAACATTATGAGATTTGACAACAGGCATTCTTCATTAAGTACAAAGAGATTGAATTGCTTTAAGAGAGCTGAAAACGAAATGCTTTTAGCTTGGTCCGAGAAGGTTCTTGAGACTCTTGTTATTCATTACGGGAGTCGAGAAGCTCTTGCTAACCTAACCTCCTTCTCCACTTTCAACTCCAGCTTCTCACTAGCAAGTTTATTTCTCTATAATATTTCGAAATACTCGCAATCTAGAGCACTACCGTACCTTTCTCAAACAACATCTTTTGCAACACCACTTTTTCATCTCCACCTATTCAAAATAATGAGGTGCTTATCTTCTTTTTTTTATATCCCCTGACGTGTAAACGCTTTGGATGAAAGTGAATGAATCGAATAATTTACAATTAACTACTAAATCTGAGTACATTTTCCCTGGGGAGAAAATTTTTATACTTTTCTTAAAAGCTCCTTTAGCCGTTCTAATAGTGAAGAATTTTCCTCTTTTTTTGTATGAAAAAAATATATAATTGCATGAAAAGAAGTTGAGAAAAAGCGTTTTTGGTATACTTTCTATGATTAAACTTCAGGCTGCCTGTGATCAGTTTTAAATGGAATTAAATTTCAACTCCCTGGGATCTGGAATTATTCAAGCGTATAGGGAATTAAAAATAATGTAATCGAACTGGACAATGAAATGTGAAGGAATGGCAAAAAAGTAATTTTAAAAAATGGCAACGAGAGAGGAAACTTTTGCAGCACATTTTTTATCTATCTTGAATTAGCTGACTGGCTTGAAGAATTTCTTTAACGATGGGTTTCAGTAATTTACACTTCAGAAATCATTTAAGCAGTAATACACGATCCAAATAACGAGCGTTAATCTTGAGAAAGCAGATGTTGCTTTCTGCAATTTTACCAAGTAGTTTGCAAATTACAAATCGATTTTATATAGTTTTATAAAAAGGTATTAAAAGTTTTATGTAAGTTTATAGTAAATCTTTTTCCTCTATAAAAAACGATACTATTATTAAGTTACGAAAACATTTTTTTGGAAATAAAACTAATTAAATTCAATGTTGATATTTACCTACACTTTCATAATTAGTTATGATGAATTAATACCGACTTTTAAAGTTTATTTATTTTTCTATCAGTGAAAAAAATTTTAATCGGATTAAATTTCCCGCTAAGCGCTAGATGGCGCTAGCAAAGCAGACCCGCTGATGCATATAAAAGAGGTAAAAGAGACATCACAGTAACGAACGGGTGATGACGGATGCCAAGAGGTATGTTTTCGTTGCCTACACTAATGTAACTTTTACACCACCTCAAGAGTAGGTATGTTCTCGTTGCCTGCACTTCTTACACTTTCTGTACCTACTCTTGAGGTGGTGTAAAAGTTACACTTAGTGCAGGCAACGAAAACATACCTATGAGGTGCAGAAAGTGTAGCGAAATGTATGGTAAAATTGCGTCACATCCGGTAAAGAGAACAGCATAGTGCAGGTTAGGTGTTAAAGTGTAAGAAGTGCAGGCAACGAAAACATACCTAAGAAGAGAGATATATTCAACACCTTTGAGATTTAGAAACTACGTATATGAAATTTTCAAATGTGAATAAAGAAAAAATTGAAAAGTTGGCATTAATCGAACGTATTTTTGCAAGTTAGAAAAAAAATTTATTTCGAATGTGCAAAAGTGCAAAACATCTTTATTTTTAAATCCAGTCTATTATTTACCAAAAAGAAGTAGTGTAATGATAATTACATTTATTAAAATTAAGAATACTAATTTATGCAAAATTTCTTGCATCTCATTAAAGGCAAGTTAATTTTGTAAGTGTCTGTTGGTGTCCCACACCAAGTAATACCATTTCATCCTTTTGAAATCAATCTCGTACCTCAACGAACATGCCAACCTACTACCAACCCGGCTACTTACCAAACTTCATCTCCCTCGCAAAATTATTTCATGTCTTCTCATTCGTTGCTTTTCACAAACTCTCCCAGTTCAGGAGTAAGCAAGCTAGCATTACTTTAGCGGTGTTTTACACACGTAAAAGACGCTTGAGAAAATGTTTCTGCCTCAAGAAACTCTCGAGTCAGTTTACCCTTTTTAGTTTTACGAATGTTCCTGTCGTAAATCCTTTTTAGCTTCATTCACGACACATATATTAGATAAATTGCTTTTAATATATAATTTTTCCCATTAAAAGTTAAAAAAAAGAAAAATCCAATAAATTCTTTTTATGACAATTTAATATTTTTTTTTACTGACTATTAAAATCTTTTTTAAATCTACAGCTATTTATTTTTCAAAAGTTAGTAAAAAATCTTCCATTATTTTCCATCAAGTTTCCACCTTTATTGAGCATCAAAATCTCATGGAGTTTGTAAAAAGATTTTTAAAAATTAATATTCTGTTTGAAAGTACAAAGTATATTTAATAAGAAACATTAATAAATTTTATCAAGTGAATAGAGCTCTTAACATGAAAGTAATAAAACTTGAGAGAGATGGTTGTCTACTCTTTCTTTTCGTCTTTAACTATTAAAATATAAAAAGAAATAGATAGTAGGAAACGACCCTTAATTTTACAAGGTAAGAACCGAGATATAACTTCTTGTTTTTTCTTCTTTAAATTTACTGACCTAACAGGTCGGAGTCTTTACTTTTCTCATACTGTACAACTTGTATTTTATCTCATTCTTCACTATTCTTATCTCAACGATCCTTGTATTTGTACCTAACAATTGACCCATACATTTATTGTTCATACAATGAAAATAGAGAATACAATATGTCCATCGAGTTGAGTTTGCGATAAGGCTTTTGCGGTTCAGAATATCGAAGGAAATATATAAGATATACTACATACATATAAACGGTTTCTCACAAAGCAGGAAATTTTAAAAAATTGTTAAATATAATTCTGATAACAGGGTACATTGAAAAAGAGAATAAAAATTATTTAAAAAAATACTTACCAGTGACATCTAAATAGCCAACTTGACTTTTCATAGGATCAGTGTTTATTTGACACATGTACCAGCCACGATCCGTTTCTCTGACCTCACGAATATGCAAAAGCCAGATTCTGTGGTCTGTGTGTGTCACTCCAATTCGAAAATTTTTTGTGATTACTTGTTTGGCTATAGTGAGAATTGTTTGTGTGTCCACTCGAAGCCATGCGACCTGAAAACAATATTAATTTTTCCTTTAAAATTGTTTTTTCAATAAACTGATTTTCTATATTGAAGTGCCCCTATACAAAAAAATGCCATATTGAGTTCAATAAAATATGGAAAAAATATGAATGCATATATGTATATATTTATATGTACACCTACGGGTCAGAGAATAAAGTCAAATACAGCTTAGGTCATGAAAAATTCCATTTTGTGTGATAATATCTGTCAATAACTTTTGGCGCAGAATTTTTATTATTCTAGATAGTCAAATGTAATGGATAAAGAAACGGTAGAGTGTGCGCATAGAAACGACACTATAGTGGTATAATCTCAGAAAGTAGTCTCGTTTCACGACACCCCATGTCGTTTGCACGTGTTAGCTAAAACTTTTGTTACTCTTGCATTTTTGTCATGTGCAACATTTTCTGTGATTATCAGAATAGAAAATTTAGACCTGTCGTTTTTATTCTAAAACATTTACTACAAACAATGCTGTTTAAAAAATGTAAATTTTTAGTCATTCTATTAACAGGGTCATATTCTGTTTTTCAAAAAATGCTAAAAAATAGGGATTATATCGAAATTGGATTTTTGACATATAGCTGTAGGGGAGACCGGGGCGTAATGAATGATTTCAATTTATTCAAAAGTGATATGTCATAGTAATTTCGGTCTCCGCTCAAAATAATGTACTTGGTGTACTGTAAGTTTGTACCAAGTTTCATTGTTATTCATTTATTATTGTTAAAAATATGGTAGAAAATGTGATTTTGACGCTTGAAAGTAAATTTTTAAAGTCTTTATTTTTTTGGTATATCTTTTTTAAAAATAGTTGTTATAAATGTTTGAAAATCAAGTTTTGAGCTTAGAACATTTATTTTTAAGGAACAATTGACAATTTTGGTCTAATACTTACGGTATTGATAAAAAATAACAAAATATTCAACAAACACTTCCGGGGCGTAATGGATACTTTGTCTGGGGCGTATTGGCTCGTTTATTCTACTAAGAAAAACTTATTATTTTTAAAATGTTAATAAAATAATCCTGTCAAGTTTAAAGTTTAATTTCTTGAAATTTATATATTAATAAGTACAAATGATAACATTTTATTTAAAAAAATTGTAGAATAGATTTTTGAAATAAATGTAGTTTGTATTTCGATCCAACTTTATAAAATTTGATTATTTCACAAAAATGCTTAAAGTTTAAATTAAATATGTTTCATTTTCAATATTTCTTATTATAAATATACTGTTGAATTAATAAAAAGGAGGACTTAAGTGATAAACATAAATAATTGTGAAACCAGTTTTATATTAGAAATATTAAGTATATTCTTTCTGTACTTAGACCACACAAAATTACAATCTTTTTGGTGTGGCGTACAGAACGAGACTGCCGAACTCAAACGGTTACAGAGCCCTTCTCTGGCCCTACCTGACCTGTCCGTACCCTAGGACTTATCGTTGGATCACCCGATGGTGCACACATTTTGCAATTTACAAATCCGTCTATAAAGTTTTATTGCAGAAATACAGCTTAGACACTCTTTTAAGCACGTTTTAGGATATTTTCATACATCAGACAAACTAATCTTTTTATAACTAAATGACAAGAAAGGGAACAATAAGGCAAGATCTTGGTTACAAAAAAAAGGAAAAACCAAAAATTCAAAGGGAAAAACTACCTCTCCAATATGAAAATAAAATATTCTTACTTTAACATCCTCCCACCATTGAGATGACTAATACAATTCATCTCAATTCTACATTCATATAAAATCAGAATCAAATTACTTTACTTATACATAAGGCGATTCGGTTTTTTACAACTCTTCCACTCTTCGTTGTAACAATCTTGTTAGCGTTGTTCTCAAAATTTAAATCATCCATACGCATTTCGAAATTCTTTGACTCATTCCGATATTTATTATTTTTAAGCTTCTCAATAACAATTTCATTATAATGCGATTTCATAGTAGTATGTTGTTGAAGCTCCAATGGGAAAACTCGCCTAAATACTCACTACGAAAGCTGCATCTAAGATCATCCTTTACTTTTTGTCTATACAAATAACGTTTTTCAAATTGAACCTTTCCAATTTCGTCTAATTCAATCACACCTATTTCTTTTACTTCCTGCAGAAACATGGATGGAGTAAGCAGTACGATATCATGTTCATTTTCCGACATAAAAGTGATGGGCCTAGAATTTATTACGGCCTCGCAATTTAAAAGCACTGTTAACATTTCTTCATAATTTAAGCAAGTTCTCTTAAGAGTTCGACGTAATAAACGTTTTAAAATCCCGATAAGACGTTCCCAAAATCCCCCCACCAAGCTGCAGTAGGAGGATTAAATTTCCATTGTATCTCTTTTACAGCTAGGATTTCAGAGACCTTTTTAAAATTTACTCTTTTAATAAATTTGTTCATTCCCATAAAATTAGTACCATTATCGCTATATATAATGCTCGGCTTACCTCGACGCGAAATATGACGTCTTAGAGCCATTAGGAAGCTAGCTGTAGAAAGTGACGTAACTAACTCCAAATGCACCGCCCTGTTTATTGCACAGGTAAACAAACAAATCCATGCTTTACTACCATCTTTTAAGTAAATCGGGACAGCAAAATCTACACCTACTATTTCAAAAATCATAGCGTCTCTTATTCTATCAAGAGGTAAAACTGCAGGAGGAGTCTCCAGTGGTTTCAAATCGTGTCGTTGGCAATTTATACATTTCTTAATGACCGACCTAATTGTTTTCCGACCCCCTAAATCCCAAAAATTTTCTCTCACGAAACTCATTGTTATTTCTACACCTGCATGATTTAGATTTTCGTGTTTCTCTTTAATAATCAAATCTACAATCTCATGTTTGTTAGGTAAAAGAATGGGACATCGAAAATGTTCAGTATCATCCCGGAGAATTATTTTCGTCTTTATTCTCATTATTCCGTCTTTATCTTTAAAGGGTTGAAAATGCTGAATGGATTTATCATTTTCGTCAGAGAAGCTTTCATTTTGAACAACCTTGATTAAAAATTTTGTTGCTTGTTCTATCTCCGAAAATGACAAATTGCCCTTCTTAAGATCTACGGGAAGGTGTTTGAAATTAAAATGGAACCTATATATCCAGCCTAGAACGAGTAATGCCGTAGGAGAATCGATGAAGCATGCTCTATCAAATTAGGGCCTTTCTCCAAGCAATCATTTAATGATGAAAAATGAAGATCTTTAGCCGAGGCGTCGAATACTGGCCGAATCGTTGTAGTGCAATTTTCCTCAACGACATGTCGATGCGGCAAATAATGTCCCCAATTATCCTTTTCTTCTTCAGGTACAAGTTCAATGATCCCTTCTGCTTCCCACTCCTCGAATACAGCATTATACTCTTCTAATAGTTCATCGTTTTTTAATTTCTTTATTTTGTTTTGTAGTCGTCGAACAGCTACGCCTTTATTATCCTTCAAATCCGGGTGGTTTTTTATCCAAGGTAATTTGACGTCATATCTTTACTCGCCGTTTACTTTCACTGAATTTAAAAAAGTTTCCTTTATTTCCTTTTCTCGTTCCTTTTGACTTTTAATCTCTATAGGGTCTTTAATTCCTAAAACATCTAAAGACCAGAGATCAGATATGTTTGCGTTACGAACGAACATGTTGGTTGCAATCATGATAGCATCTTTATGTTTTTTCTCATTTGATACCGATCCCATTAACGTCCAACCAAGGTTAGTTTCCATAGCTACTAATCCACATTCTAATCACATCTGCACCAATAAGAATAGAAACAGGTTCACTCGTTCTCTCAGTATCCGTAATTTCGATATCTAACTTCTTTAGTTCGTTAATCCAAACTTCATTTTTACTGACGGAACATCTTCACATATCAGATTCTGATACAATGTACGAAAATTGCACGCGTAATTATTATCCAAAATGCGTAGATGAATGAGATATCTTTTATGCAATTCAGCATTGGATCTTTCACCACCAAATAACGAGTGACTAACCAATTGTTCGGCTATTGGTTCATAGCCCACCCTTGCCGCTGCTTGTTTAGTAATGTACGATCTTTGGGAACCCGTATCAATGACACCGCGAACTATCACTTCTCTTTGTCCATTAAAAAGTTTAACACGTAGTGTTTGCATAAAAACCTCCGGATCATTACAAAAACTAGCCAAATTGCACTCATTTTTCACTGTGTCACTTGAACTGTCTTTCCTTTTATCATCTTCCGGACACATAATTGTTAAATGTCGTCGAGAACACTTATCACATTTTAAAAATACACGACATTTGAAAGATGAGTGACCGATATTCAAACATTTAAAACATTTTTAACAAGCTGAGTGAGTCTGTCCTTTGCCTGAACATTAACTTCTTGCGATGTAGAGAGATTACTTTGCTGCCATGCACGTAACAATTCTTCAGGTAATGAAGATTCAACGAGAGGGAAAAGCATAGCAGCACATTTATTTGTGGTAACTCCTAATGAATCAAGAGACCTCAAATAAGACTCAAGCTTATCATATAAACTAGATAAAACAATATTTTTGTTTTGGGATATTGCATTTTTTAAAAATAACTGTAAGAGCTCTCTTACATACACTTCGATTTGTAATTCTTCGCGTCCAAAACGGTTTTTTAAACTGTCTATCACTTTATCATAGTTTTCCGCGGTAGGAGGGAAAATTTTCACTAACACATCAGCACGGGATCCTGCTACCATGGCTTGTTTCAAATATTAAAACTTATCCTCCTTTACAATGTCGGAATCCTCATGTATCTTTTTAAACATACTCCAAAAATGTAACCACTCACGCACATCTCCACCAAACTTCGTTGGCAGTTTGTAAGTTCTTTTGATATCATTTGATGCAGTGGAACCATCTCTTTGAAAAGATTGATTGACTGACCTTTCAGATTGAAGTTCTGACACTGAAAACTTTGCTTCAAGGAATCCAGATATTCATTAGTCGTCACTGTCAATTC